AGCAGCACCTCGACTGCTTCTGTCCCACAGGGAGATAATCTAGGTACTCAGTCAAGCAGCACTATTTAGAATATCCGACTACAACTTTGACCAAACATGTAGAAATGCTTTCTGTGGCGCATGTTTTGAAGCTCATTACTGTCCAAGACATTCTCTAAAAATAAAAATAAAGTCCCAAAGTGCTGTTGGGCTTTCTTCACCACCAGAAGGCTTATGTTACTACAGTGAAACAGGAAAAGTCATAAAAAATAAATAAAGAAAACTTTTTTTTCCCTCTTACTCCCAGGATACGTGCTCAGCACTGTTTTAGAGACTCAACATTTAGTCTCCCTTTATATTTCAGCCTGATATATTCGCTTGTTAATTTATGTTCATCTAACCCAAATTAATGAGATTCTGAATATCATTTCTGTGGGATGAATCATCATTGATAAGACCCACACAAATGTATCATCCTGAAATTTAATAATCAGATTCAAGTCAGAGATACAGTAAATTGTACCACAGTGTGTGCTTGGCTGTCGTCCTTCTGGTGAGGGTTGTGTGAGCTGGGGATGGTTTCCATCTCGTCTGTCTGCTTTCACAGGAACTTAATGCTTATCCGTAAGACCAGAAGGGAACAGTATTTATATGATGTGTAAGGAAATATGTAGATCACGTGGATTTCATAAGTCATTAAACTTGATGAAACCATCTTACCCTGACCTTGCAAAATAATTTTTCTTGACTTAAACCCTGTGAAACTGACTCTGGAAAATAACAGAAAAATTAAAAATCAATTCAAAGCTATATTATATTGGAGTTTACAGGTCAGGTGCAACCTATTCCCCTCACACACTGCTCAGTCGTCTTGATTATTTCTTCCCCTCCCCCTCTGTCCACACAAGCATGCACAGACCATTTTTATGCTGAGTACATACATTTTATGTATGTTGCACATGTAGTGGGGGATCGCAGCGTTAACCCTCCCCCAGCCCCGTGTTTGGTCCACAAGCATTCGAGTGGAGGCCATTTGAACACAGCACTGTAAGACTGCTTGATGGTTTCACTAGAAACAAACATGCAGTAAGAGCAGCAGTGGGTATTTCCTTTTATCCTATGATCATCAACACTGCTTACAAAAATAGGTCTAACACAGCTCTTTGATGCAGTATTGTTCTCACTGCTGTTAGCAAACATCTTGAAAAAATGCTTTTGTTTCTTATTGGCTATCAATGCAGCAAAGAGAGGAGTCACACATTATCTCAAGCATTAAATGCAGATAATACAGCTCACTCTTCACATCCAGATTCAACATAACAAGACAACCACGAGCTACAAAGATACGTCGTTCATTTCATGACTAACATGTGAAAATGGAAAAGAGATGTTTCATATTGGCTGTGGTTTTAGTTATTCTTTTGTGTTTTTGGAGAGAAACGCTGTCATAGTTTGTCTGTGCGTTTTGTTTTCTATGAACGCTCATGACCTCAAGGGTAAGTTACTTTGGTTCTGTCTGTGCAGTAAACTGAGACTGAATTTAATTTTAAAGGTCGATGATGCATATCTGTGCCAGATGCTTAGTGAAGTGGGGTTTATATATATATATATAGATATATATATATACACACACACACACATTATGTTCTTGTCTGTTCAGTGTCTGACAAGCTAGATAAATTAAAAGTATCAATGATGTTCACTGCCAGTTCTTAACGCTGGCTATAAATCAGACCTCTGTTGGTTATTTAAGAGGTCATCCACCATTTCTGCAACTCTTACGTGTTCACCTCCAGATTTTCAGTGGCAAACCATGTAATAAGGCAACCTGTCTTGCAATAATATGCAAATTTAATTCTGGTGGCTTTCACATTTGTAAAGGATCACGTTGACAAGTTTGAGTTCTTTCAAATAAGCCACTGAGTCTCTTGCAGAAAACCCATATATTCTGCACTGTCATCCCATCAAGACACTGTATGAGCAACATCTTGTCAGGTATATGCCGAGTCTTTTTTGTGCAGCTTTTATAGATGGATAAGGGCCATTTCTGTACAGTGGTAGTTTTTACACTGCTAGTGTGCTACTTAGTCCTGCAGCCTACACATCCGTTGCTCACACAACACCAGCTGCAGTATTTGATAACAGATAAGCCGGGAAGAGCAAGTTAGCAAGGTAGATGCAGCGCCGAATGGTTCAATCTCAGACCTAAACAGAGCATTAGTAAATATCTGCTGCTGCACATTGTTGTTGCTGCATTTCTCCGCGCTTACCGTCAGAGCTCAGGCTCACTGCTCTTTATTAAGGAGGATGACATAAACAGTAGGGTAAAATAGGTCAAATCCATAGGAAGGAGGAGGAGGAGAATAGTTACAGTAAGGATGTGAAGTGTAAAACCAGTTCCTCACAGAGAGGAATGCTGACTGCACATTAGCAAAGCAAACCACCTCTGCTTTGATATCACCTTCTGATATTTTCTAAATCATTACTCTGGATCATTTGATTGGTTGGCAGGTAATGAGTGACAGCAGGTCGTTTTCCTGTCCATTTTCCAGTAAAGACGTCTGAAAATCGATTCTCAGGGTGAGGTGATCATCGATCTTGATATTGAGATGAAGGCACACTGACCCCTAAGTCGTAAATCATTCATTACATTAATACTCATTTTCCACTTGAACTCAATGCTTTGGCTAGTTTACATTGCATGGCCTTCAATATAGGCACTACACTGAAATATAAAACTTCAAACTTCAGCAAGGCTAGTCTGTCCTGATTAAATGTTGTGAGGCCATCAATGAGCATTAAGCATAAAAGAGCACATTAAAGCACTGCTGAAGGCTTCCAACCACATAAAGACTCTTCTAATTAAGGCCCTGAATTTAAGATGACAGAGAAGCTCTGTGTTGGGCTTTGTTAAAGAACAAAGGTTATGCAAACAAATAGCCTTGGAATTGACCAGTCACATGGTAGCTACTGTAACACAGATGTTTATCGAACACATGGCAGTCCTGGAGAATGCAGGGAATAAAAGCAAGGGCAAAGGCTAGAAATATAGGATGAGGAACAGAAAAAAAGACATATCCCTGCGATATACAGTTTATCCCAAAAGATCCGGCCAAAAAAGAAAATACCACCACCGTTAACAACCCACCATGAGACTGCAACGGACTGAATGCAAGCTGTTTATGAGCTACTCAACCTGCAGGACATATGTGAACAGACAAGTTATTTGGGCAGTAAAGAACAACGCAGAGACTAATCTTGAATCTTGGGGGTGATTAGCATGTTTCAAAGGACGGGACATTCTGGACATAATTAACCGTGGCACAATGGATGTTGCGAATTCTGCAATAGCTGACGTTCGCACGCTCACAAACAAAGTATCTGCTTGTAATATGAACTTGAGATGCGCTGAACATCATTAGATCTGTTCTAAACTGCATTACATACTGCAAACCAAGCACAATTCATTTTAATTGAGCTTTTAATCCCATTTTGAAATCTGCTTTTATTACAAAGTAAATGTTTGCTGTGGAGATACATTTCACTGGTTGGTCATGATGACTGTAGAGGCAACTTGAGTCTGTAGGAGGAGAGTTTTAATATGTTTTCCACAAGGAAGGCATGGTGTCTCAGATGGAGATATGGAGGAAGAGATGAGGCAGGAGGGAGCGCGATGAGGGGACACATGGGATTATCTGTGATACTATACTCAACATTGAGCACAGCAGGACCACCCTTTCAGAAACCCAGAAAGCAAACACCCTCATTAATTTTACCAGCGGTATCTTTCAAATATTGAAATTGGTCCCGTCTAGCAGACAAAATGTAAAAGTAATCATGATTAATGAAATATAACAAGAATATCTACCTATTTCATATTTAATGATACGTAACTAATCAAATGCACAAAGTGGAACAGATTCTAGCAACACGACAGAAAACAAACCAAAACGTCAGAACTGAATCAACAAACAAATTATCTGCAGCTTTGTACACATGTACACATCATTTTGGCATGTGTTGGGACAAATCCTGGCTCTGAGCGGACCAGTGTAGTCAGATTTGGCTTTGTAAAGGTAACAGACTAGAGTGCCATGTGGAGGGGAACTCTGAGCTGGCTGCCGTACTGGAAACACCTGAAGCTGGGAGGGAGGGGAATATGGGATGTGATGGACAATCGCTGAATGAATGAATGACCATGCTCCCTCTATGGATCACACTTTCTCATCGTGACAAAGACCAAAACCATACTGCAAACACACATCTAACATAATAGCCAGTTTTTTTTTCTGATAATAAGCAGCAGAGCACAACTGCCTGTTTCTGATTCATCATAGACCACAGCAGGGCCACTGTTCCTGTTACCTGATTTCAAGCCGGGATTAAGCCGCCCTTGCAGTGCACTGTTTCTCTGATGAATGATATTTAAGTGGCCCTGAGCAATAAAGTGCATTTCCCAAGGTCAAAAGCATTCCACACTGTTTGCTTTGCTGGGATGAAAAGCAAAATGTGAACCAATCAGTATGCTGAATCATATGGTTAGCCCTGACGTGACCTGGTCCACAGATAAGGAGGTGATATCTGGTAATGATTGATGTTTTTTTTTAATTAAATATCAGTAAACATTTATGGTAAAGGGTGGCTTTCACCAAACACAACCATGCCTGCCAAAGATGCTGTCGCTTGTTCTGTGTGCATGGAAATCAGCCATCTAAACATGAAAAAAACCGACCACGCGGTGATGTAAAGGTATTATTCTGTGAATAAGCTGGTACCTGAAAGCATATGGACTAGAGAGGAAGCCGTAGGTAAGTGTGATCACTGGGCTAATAATTACTATAGTAGCTGTGCAAAGGGAAAAGAGCGGTTCAAATGAGCAATGGGCTATACAACAGGATGAGGAAGGCACTGCGATCACAACATAAACGCGCTTTTTCTCACAGAGGCCTCTATTTCATTTTAGTTACACATTTGTACAAACTAACGGTCCACACCGTGCATGTAGAGAACCCGAGGCTTACCTTGCACCCGAACATGAGAGAGAGGGTCCGGTTGCTGCAGATGACCTTACACTGGCACATGACCGGCGAGAGACACTTTAAATTCCTGACAGGCAGAGACATCAGTCCAAAGCCTCACACCAAGACAGACAGCACAGACCAGCCAGAGCTCGTCGGTCCGCCGCCACTCACTCTGAGCCACGGTACAATTAGACGAGATCCGCGGAAGCTGAGAGGGGAGGGGGGTTGGGGGGGAGGGGGGGGTCGGTGATGCCGGTTAATAGGCGGGCTGCCCGGTTGAAATGTGACCGTAGCGGTACTCGGGTCCAGGAGACGTGTTTTTATGCAACTTCAGATCATGCATGTTTATCACATATTAAAGCGTCGGGCTGTCGGTATACATTGCCATGCTGTTCTAAAGGTTTAACATTGGCAGTACCATTCATCATTTGCCATTAGTCTCTCTCTCTCTCTCTCTCTCTCTCTCTCTCTCTCTCTCTCTCTCTCTCTCTCTCTCGCTCCCTCTCCCTTTGATTGACCGTAAAGTTTGTACTCAATGCGCAGCTGGAATCACGAGGCAAAGCGTTGAAGTGACTGGATAGAGAGCACCGGTCATCATGCATAAAAATAATATTATTATTTGTATAAAAGTATAAAAGAAAAAAAAAACACCACAACATTCTCCTCAAAGCAGTGGGAGCCCGGAAATATTTATGATGCCACATCACATCAAAATGCCTGGCTCATCACCACGTTACAGTGTCCTCGCTGCGCCCCCTGTTGGATCATTAGAAAAATGCTACAGGAGCTGTCCAGCGTGCTGAAATGGTTCAAATCAGTGCACAGCACTGGAAGGCTACATAATGTTCTTCGAGTATCTGGCTTGCTGGTTGAGCCAAAACCGAGAGTCATTTATCAACAGCATCACACAAGGTTATTGCCAGTGTTTGTCTCTGTTCACTTGCAGTGTTTTATGAATAAATACCACAAGTGTCTCATTTCTTATGAATACAGAATTCATTCACAACATCAAACAGGGATGCCGATGTGTGATCCACGTGTCTCACTCTGAAACAATACTGTATTATATTATCCAATATCTAAAAATAGAAATAGATGGAATTGTGAAGCATTAGTGTTTTTAAAGTTAAGCACTCAAGATAACAAGCAATATCAAAAACAATCTCCCTTTTTTTCTTTCGTGCCATAAATTATTATGTTTTAACAAGCTTTACATCTTTCACAAGATGAACATCTCATTTAGTTTTCATTTGTGTTTTGTTACTCTCCACTCCTGTGTGAGATTGTGCTGACATGGTGAGCCCACAGGGTGGAGTGAGAGAACCAGGTAGGTTAGATTTAAATATTGTGCATTCATCTCAGGACCGACTGCGGCGCAGGGCTCAACGCTCCCGGGTGACGTCAGCGTTAAATCGAACACAGAGACTGTTCTAAATACACCAGTGTGCAGCTGATAGGTTTTTCCTTTTTTTTTTTAAAAAAAAAAAAAACCTTATCACCCTCTCAGAGAGTTAGGGATATCCTGGGAAATCTGCAATGTGCTAAAGACATCAGCAGGTTTATCAAAGGCATACAGAGGGAGGTCATGAATTTCAACACAGTGTGAAGTAGACTAGTGTCACTTTCTTTGGAAAAATATTCTTTACAGTTAACACTCCCAGAGACATCAGTTTACAAGGCAGGGTGATAAGTCTTGATCATATAATAGTTTAGATATTGTGTGTGTGTGTGTGATTTCAGTGTGTGGGCATCGCCTTCACATTGTTTTCTTAGTACTCTAGATGTATGACGTGTTTCCTCACTGTCGGTCTAACTTTATACTTTGACTCCCATCTCTGATCACATAACACTGAGAAGACTTATCAAACCCACAAGAGTTTCCATGGATATTGCTTTCTAAAAAATAAAACTCTGTCCTTGATTGCTTGACTGTGTGGATTTAAGGTGGGACTCTAGCATTGACGGTAAACTGAACAAGGTTGCAACAATGAGTAACAGACATGCAGTAGGCCACCTCTTCAAAATTACACAAAGGTGGTTCCACACATTCCACACTCTCCTCCTCTTTAAACTGCAACCACACAGTTTCTCTATGTTTCCCTTACATCACACTTCAATCTGAAAGTAAGAGACTGAGTTCTTAATACAAATTCAATAGGAGTCTCTTTGAAAATAAGACAAAAACCTAATTATCTGCAAATGGCAGCTGTAGTCAGCAGATGAAATTTCTTAACCATGCTTCTGCTTTGACTTAAAATAAACCTTTTCCTTTATCACTCCACCATGCTCTGACATGTACAGGAACAACAGGGGGGAAGTCATATTATGTCATGCCTGGGGTGCCCCTCACTTTTTACAGACATGTCATGTAAAAACTCTTTAGTATAACCAGCCTGTATGAAGAACCAACTCATTAGATTTTGTACAACAGATGTTCTTGTAGATATAAAATGTACACCTCTTACTACATTTAAGGAGATTTGCTTTGATTCAAGCAGCATTTCCAGACACTGGTGCACATAGAGGTAAGAGATATGACTAACACTATCTATAATCATTATAGGTATAGTATAATTTCTATGGTGATCATATACTGTAAGTGGCTTCCCTCTTCCACTACAGCATTACGTAAGCGTGGGAGTCACATGGAAACCTGAACTGTGGTGTTCCACTGTTAAGTATAGCATTAACCACCTTAATGCTGCATTGTGTGAAAGAGAGAGAGAGAGAGAGAGACCCAAAAGAGACTGACTGTTTCCATGACAACATCTGCAGGGGGTGGCAGATCCCTAACAAATGGTCCAGTTGCCAGCAGCATTTTGGTCACCATATTTATAATATGTTTGCTGCTATCCCAGGTGATTGGATACATAAAAGCAAGTGCCTCATGCTACTACTACATGTGACACCAGTGAGACACATGCCAGTGTTTTTTTTTCCCAAATATACAGAGAATATAAAGAAGCACTGTGACTATAAGAGTAGGCTGCTAGTGCTGGCATTATTCACCACTGACTGTTACAGCAGATTACTGAGCCTGCGAGTGCCAGAAATTGTGCTAAGCCTAATACACTGTAGGTACAGATGTGTCACACTTAACATTTTCTCATCTTTTCTGCTCGACAGTCATGGTCTTGGCAGTTATTTTTGAATCCTGTTATCACCATAAGTGGTTGAGAAAAAGACATACCATTAATGTTTTGCCTTTATGTGAATGACGGAGAAAGACATCAAAGCCTGGTGAAAAGCCCAACATAAATCCCTTTTTTATCTCTCTGCATGCAGTTTGACTGGACTGTATGTTCAACTATTAGATTGGCAAAGTTAGTTTTTTAGATATCTGCGGGATCAATAGCGCCACTAAAAAGTCGGACCTATATTTTTTCTTAACAGAGTCTTCTGCAAATACATGACAATTTTCACAATTACAATAAAGTGGAAGCTCTTTAAAAAAAAAAAAAATCACATTTCATATTGATCCATTATGCTTATACTAGATTGGACTGTACACATTCTTTACAAATAAGTAAATCACAACACGGTTTAGTCTGTATTTGGAGAATTGTCATCACTGCTGAAACAGGAGTGACAATAATAATATATATAAAATCATACCATGCCTTTAAAGACCAAAATGAATGCATCATCAGTAGGGATTGTCTTGTATCAAGCATCCCATCTTTTAGACAAAATACAAAACTGAATGTAGTTATTACTTCATGGCTTGTTACAACCTTGTTTTAGCTTTATTGATTTTTACAAAGCCCATATTTTTCCACATCCTCCAATTTCTCTTAAAAATGAAGGAGTGATTCATCCCGAGCAAAATAGTTTTAGTCTACATTGGATGACAACATTTATTTTTTTTCTTTCACTGGACTCTTTCTCTAAACAGTTGATGTACAAATACACTGCACTCCTAATGCAATAATTAAACCCTATAAAAAAATGTCCTAATAAAAGTGATTGTATTCACTGAAATTCATAACCACTGTCATCTAAAGAAAGTGAAGTATCTAAATCAATCTTAACAGTGGGTTATAACTTAAATTGGGAGAAAAAAAAATGTGGATCACAACAAGCCTCCAGTCTTCAGCCCTCTATAACCCCCAGCACTCAGCAGCTTTGACAATGAAATAGTCTAAAGTGCATACACAACTGGGAATCTCCTGAGGCTCTGAGACTGCCTAAGCTCTAGGAAAACACCCAAGGTTAGAATTATAGTATTCACACCTACACAGACCCTGCTGTATCTGATTTCTCACTGCTAGTATATCTGATTTCCCCTGTTCTCACGAGAAAATGATTTCATGTCAAATTGGCAATGGATGGCCAAAAAATTACAAGTAAAATAGAGGGGATAATCAGTAAGCTAAAATGCTTTTCAACAAAGTAATACAGTCTTATATATGTCAGGGAAAGATAACGGACTTTGACTGGTCACTCTTAAAAAAACTCTTCCTCATTCATCATAAATTGCATAGGGTTTAAGACGTGGACACTTTTGTTCCTGTGGTAGAGCCTTGAGATCAGATCAGCTCCAGGTGCATCAGCAGCACTCGAACGCTGCTCTACAGGCAAACTGTAATGTTTCACATCTGATATTCCTGCTTCTGTCTCTTGCAAAACCATCCAGCTGTGTAAATTTAGCATGCCAGAATGGAGTCATCAGCAACAGTGATGACTTGGAGCAATGCATTATGCATGAAGTATGGTGTACATGTTACACCTCCAACATACTTCAAAAGCCAAAAAAATCGATTAGCCTGGAAAGGCACTTGTTTTTCTCCTTTTGGTATAACTGCAGACATGCTTTGAGACAGTTATTAAATGGTTAAATTGAGCTGTTGGGGATAATTATCTGCACCACCCTCAAATGGGATGAGAACATCTACACCATAATCATGAAAGCCTAACGGATGATCTTCTTCCTGTGACAAGCGAAGAATCTCTCACAGCAGCTACTGGTCTAATTCTACACAGCCATCACCTCACTTCCTCTATCACAGTATGGTTCTGCTGTGCCTCCTCCCACACTGAAGACAACAGCAGTCTACTGTCCACAGTACTGAGATCATCCTCTGCCAGCTGTCCTCCATCTG